TTAAATACTTTCCTTCTTCGAAATGTTTGTTGGGTATTATCCTACTTATCTGAATTATTTTAATGTTTTTGAATTTTGAAATATTTTAAACAAACCAATATTTTTCTCGTTTTTACATATCATAACAAATCCCCGCCATTTGATCTGCCGAAAACTCTTTGTTAAATTTTAAAAATGACAAAAGTTTTCTAGGATCAAATTATTTCACTATGTTATTAAAATCTACTTATGATACTGATAAATGTCGTGAATGTTAAAATACCCCTTATATTGCCTGTCTTTATACGGGATTGGATATATTTCCGTTTTAAATTTTTCCAAGTATTTTCCCTTAAAAGAAAGTTCATAATTTTTAGCCACTCGGTTTACTTCATTAACAAGATCTCCATGGTTTCCTAAAATCTTCTCTATTTTCTTTCCCATGTTTTCTCCACAATTTAATTTTCTTTCATCATCCTTTTGTTCACATGTGTTCACTGTCCATAATATTTCTTCACAAAATTCTGGATTCTCGTCCATCAGTGCCATTTTTTCTTTTGTTTTCTTTTTATCCTCTAATTCCCTTTGGTATTCCGAGCACCAAGTTTCTATTCCTTTCATTTCTCTGATGATACCTTCTTTTTCTTCCTGCTTCCATTCTGTTTTATCGTCGGTTGCCAACAATTCTTCTGTACCTTCTATTTCCTGTTTTTCTCTTGTCTCCATTCTATTTTCCTGCTTTCTTTTCGAACTCTTCTTCTTTTTCTTCCTTCTCTTTTCTCTTCTGTTAGATTTTGTTCTTGTACTTTCGGTTTATCTTCTACAGTCATATCGATTTCTTTGCGTTTTTTCCTGTGCATTGATCCTTCCAGAATTTGTTTTCCTATCTGTTTGCTTTTCTTCTTCTGTGTTGTCTGGTTCTGCTCTGATTTCCAGTTTATTTTCCGAAAAATTTATGGTGATATCTTTTTTTCTCAATTCATCAATTCCCGCTATCATATCATGATTTAAATCTTCAATCACCACACATTTCATAGTATGGAATTTGTCTCCCACTCTTATCTGTACTCCCAAACCTTCGTTTACTGTCGTCAAATTTTTATTGTTTGCACCCACTAAATCAACCCTAGGAATCTTATACACAAATCTGTCCAAATTTAATTCTTTTACTAGTTTTTTATTGATTAGCGATATCTCCGATCCAGAATCAATCACAATTTTAATCGCTTTATGTTTTATAAATGCATCTAAAAATATTAGATTAGAATTAGAAATTTGTCTTTCGTTTCCTATTGCTACATGATTCATCTCCCTTCTATTTTGTTGTTGGAAGCTCTGGTTATTTCTATCGTCCCTTTGTTCGTTAGTATTCCTATTCGGAGGATTTTGTGCATCTCTATTCCTGTTGTGATTTTCATATGTTCTATTTTGTGTGTCATTCCTGTTATCGTAATTTTGTTGTCTATTGTAATTATTGTAATTTCTCGGCCTATATTCGTTTGTTGATCTGGGATGTCGGTTTCTCTGGTCATAATTTGATGAATACCTTCTTTCCGGTCCATTATATTGGTCATGTTGTCTTCTATTTCTCATTTCTTTTCTTTTCGCTTCTTTTAATTGAAGGAATTGGCACAAACTATCAATATCTTGATAGTTTCTCAAAATCACGTGATCTTCCAACGTTTCCTCAAAATGTCTGCTGATCATTTCTACCAGCTGTTCGGTAGAATATTTGTATTCTAGATATTTTGAATTGTTATATATCTGCAAAGCATATCTTTCTTCAGATATTCCCATTTTTTCGTGATATTTTCCATTCTGTAGCTCTTGGTTGATTTCTCTCTGTTTATTTTTCCCCCAGAAATAGTTGAGAAATTTATTTTCAAAATCTGTCCAATTTTCAAACTCATCTTCCTTGCTTTCATACCATAACGCTGCTCCTTCTTTCAAATGGTTTCTAATTGTTTCTTTGCAATCGTCAAAATATCTAATATGTTGTAATTTGGTTTTCAAATTTTTAACAAACGGTACTGGGTGTGTTTTCCGAATATCCCCGCCAAATTGTATTTTCGCCTCGCTTGTTCCATGGATGATAACTTCTTTTCTCTCTACCCCTCTTAGTTCAATTTGTGCCATTTGTTTTTCATTTTGCTTTAATCTTCTTTCTACTTCCTTCCTGTCTTCTTGTAGCGCCATTTCAAATTTTTCTTCTAACTGTTCTAATTCCTTTTTCTGGACAATCTTTATTTCCTTCATCGTTTTTTGGATGTCTTTTATCTCTGTCTCTTGTTTTGCATTCTTTATGGTTATTTCTTCTATCTGTTGTATCAGTTCTTTCTTTATCCCCTCAACACATCCTTTAATTTCTTGTTCATAGTTTTCCAAACGCTGCTCTATATTCCTGTTATTTAGTTCTATTGCTTGTCTTGTTTCCCGTTGGTTTTCTTCCATTCTCTTTGCTGTTTCATTCATTGTTTGTTTTGTTTCCCTTTGGTTTTCTTCAATTTTTAGTGATGTTTCTTTTTGGTTTTTCTCTATTGTCTCTTCCATTTTCTTTAATGTTTCATTCATTGTTTGTTTTGTTTCCAGTTGATTTCTATCTATTGTTTGTGTCTGTATTTGCATCATTGCTAATAATTTTTCTAACATCCCTGTTTCTTTTCTTTCCTCAACTATTGTAACATTTCCTTCATTATCCGATCGTTCTTCCACAATTGTTTCCTCTTCTCTATTATCCTCCTTCCTTTCCTGCATTTTGCTTTGACTCCTTGTGGTCGACATGTTGTTTCTTTTCGTTACTGTTTTTGTCCCCGCCAAATGTGAAATTTTACAACACTCTATATGTTGCAGCACACGACAATATTTCTCCCCAATTGTAATAAATTTTCACGACAAATATCAAATATGCAATTAGTAAAATTCAAATAATTCAAAATAAATATCAAATGTATGATTGGTAAAATAAAAATCAAATAATTCAATAGCAGTAAATATCAACTAACTACGATCAATCAACTTTTTATCCACTGGAAAAATTGTCAAAATACTTTCAAATTCAAATTCCCTCAATGTTATATGTTTTTATCTCTGGATCACCTGTACTTATTCCAGATCTCTTTCCCTTCCTTCAAATGTAAAGCTGCGATATTTTCAAGCCCCACGTTTTGGAAGCCAGTTATTGTGATATTTAAGTCTTGGTGCGCCAAGCAATAATTAGCTAATTAATTTTTTGATTAATTAAAATTATTTAAATGATATGATTATGACTCTATCACAATTTTTAAATCTCAGGGTTAAATTCGTGCTTCAATATCTATGCTATTACATGTGAAAGGTAAGGTCCAAAGAATATCGGAATAATAAAAAACACATATGATCTAACACTATATATTGAAATAAAAATAATGAAATGATTCACACTCAAAAGTTTTCAATAAACAAAATCTCATATAATAATTCTCAAAATTTTGTTCTACGTACGTGAACAATCAAAATTAATGGTACAAACAATATTAGTTGAAATCTCAAAATCCAAGTATTACTCTAAATCTCCTAATCAAAATATTTATATCCTTTCTAAATTAAGGGTAAAAAATTGTGTTATCAATGAAAGAAAAACTGCAGAAAACAAAACTATCTCTCTCTGATGATGAGTGGTCCAAATCCTTGTTATTTGTAGACTATATTTACTCGTGGCCGCTCCCTAGGTAATCAGCAACCTTACAACAAATTATTGCAAGTATATCGTCCTTAATGATCTCCTTCAAATGCACGAATCGTTCAAATTATGCTAGCTTCTTCTTCTCTCAATAAACTAAATCTCTCGTTGGCCTGAGTGAAAAATGACTCTTGGAATATCTTTTCTTTACGATAAACTGAATCTCTCGTTGGCCTGAACAGTGACTCTTGGAATATAAGTAGAAAAATATGACTTACAATATTTTACTGGATCAGCTTCTGTCAGATACACTAACTACACGAAAACTCACAAACTTTCACTGCTACTGCTTCCTACCTCTGGGAAACTACCCCAGAACAACGGCCGTTCGCCTTGCACCCTTGGAAACCAACTGCCTATCTTTTCTCCCTCAAAATTCTAGCTAAACTTTCATTCCTACATACCTATCCCATCTTTTTTAATCTCCGCCAATCAAAACTCGTCACAATTCCCCATTCTTTCATTCCGATAACAAACAAATTTTTACCTATAATTATAAAATTTCCTAAAACTTATTTACAAATAATATTTTTCTATAATTCTTAAAAACTAACAAAAACCTCTTTCCAAATCTCTTCTATTGTCTTTAATCACTGCCTTAATGTTTTTGGAAAAACCCGGTTCAATTGTCTTTGGGATTTGACTTAAAATTATGCGGGTCACTCAAGTATAGTATAACAAAGGAAATAATTTATGCATAGCTTACATTTTGTTTAATACAGGTAATCCAAAAATTTAAATACTTTCCTTCTTCGAAATGTTTGTTGGGTATTATCCTACTTATCTGAATTATTTTAATGTTTTTGAATTTTGAAATATTTTAAACAAACCAATATTTTTCTCGTTTTTACATATCATAACAATATATATATATATATATATATATATATATATATATATATATATAATATATATAATATATATATATATATATATAGAACACCCTATATTTGATGACATTTTTAAATTTTCCTTAAAAAGTAATGTGTGTTTTGATTTATTTTGGTTTTTCTAAAAATATAAGTTTTAGAAAAAATTAAAAATCTAAGCATCGGAGACAAAAAAGCGCTACTCAAAGTTTGGTGAGCGTATCTATCTAAACTTTTTTGCCGATGGGCACTCTAACTAATATACCTTTTCTCTTGATTGGTATAGCAATTTTTCACCATAATATATTTGAAGCGACTATGATTGTCATGTACTATAATAAGCTTTGACGTTGGATAAATCACATATGTTTTATTATTGTATCTTTCATTTTTTCTGTTTCAAGTCTATATTTAAAAATTGCTGTTCTTTTCAGGTTTAAATCTGCACAGTTCATGACTGTGACCTTGAGTTGTGACCACCGCACCGTAGATGGAGCTGTAGGCGCTAGATGGTTGCAAGCCTTTAAAGAAAATCTTGAAGATCCAGTGTCGATGATCATCTAAGACGGCGACAACCCGTTGAACTAAGAAGTTCCTAACCAGTTCATCTCATCAGACGAAAAGCTGCCAATGGACAGGGTGAAGAAACAGTGAATTCGCGCACCCAGAACACGGAGACAAAACGGACTTTTTCGCCCAGCTGTAGGGGACGTTTTGGCGAGATATTCTAAACTCTAGTTATGTATTTTTAACAGTTGTAAGTTCAACATTTTGTTGGTAGTTGGGGCTTATGTATTTGAGTTTAAACAAAAGTTTCTGAAAAGTGTAATGAAGAAAACTACTTCAGCTACTTTGGAAGATGTGGTGCTTAAGTAAGATATCGTTATTCGGTTATCAGCGTTATGGACTGTTATATTTCTGTGGCTGTTAGAGACGTTAATTATAACAAAATCTCTTATAGTTAAACAAATACGGTTGTCACATGTTAGACATCATACCTTTATCATTTTTTTATTTTGTTTATTTGTTTAGAATAACTCGCTGAAAGATCAATTTAGTTGAGTAACAACAAAAGAAATTTGTAGTTGTGATTTTATTCAAAAATATTTATTATTTATATTTAAGATTTAATAGTTGCTTGACTTCGTGTTCTTTTTTGTATTTTTAGGAAGGTTCATCCATTCTATCATTGTTTTTATCCATTATTTGAAAAAGAAAGTGCTGTATCATTTTTACTGCATTTATCACGTGATTCGGCCATCAGATGACCGGTTGAGTTTGGTCGTTAGATGTTTATAAATCAACTTCTTTTTGTTTCATAGTTTTCTGAAAAATTCTCATACATTTGTTATAATTTGTTGTATGGTTTATGTATGTAAATATCAAAAAAGATAATTTAATAAATTATATTGTAAATACATGTCTAGTTTTTTGTTGAAATTGAAAAGTTACAATAAACTAGACAAAAATACGCAAGAACGTTCCACAGTTCTTCTTTTGGTGCCTATTCGTTTCGAATATTGGCGATCATTCTGGCTATAATTATTTTATTAACTGATGCTTTAAATAGATTAGTTGTTGTGGAGAACCATTAACGTATAACAATGTGTAAGGCATCTATAAAAAGGGGAGGGGCAACGAATATGTTAACATAAAAATAAAACGCAAAGACATTACCAAAATGGCGCTAAGCTTGTAACGTTTAAACAGCTCAACGTACAATCACGTGCAAGATATCGATGGAAAGGGGAGGTGAGAAAGAATATATTAAGACAAAAAGCAAACGCAAAGGCAATGCCAAAACGGCATTACGTCATATCTCTATGGTATTAGTCAGATTAGTACGTGTAACACGTTAAATGAAAGAAGAGGTGACGGGAAATGTTACGACAAAAAAAATAGACAAAAACATTGCCAAAACGGCATCACGTTATATCCTCGTTGGTATTGGTTCGATCATGATGTACGAGGGCTCGTTGGAAAGTGCAGGAGACGGGAAATAGGTTAACACAAAAAACAAAGACAATTGGCAAAATGGCACTATATCGGATCTTCATTGCTATTGACTTTAGCATAATAGACATTGAAGGAAAGTGAGGCTAACAGAGAATGACAACATCACAAAAACGGCGCTGTATCATATATTGGACCTAGTTTGAATGGGATTCCTCGTCTATTACAGTTCATCACCTCGTCACGCCACCTGTCGGCTACATCTAGCACTTGTCATCGTAAAAAGACACTCCTTCAGCCTATCTCTCCCTCTCTCTCTCTCTCTCTTGAAACAATGCGAAAGGCGAGGTGAACGATATAACGTGCAACAACGTGTGAGGTATTGCTAGAAATAGAACATGATTAATCGAAGAATGTATATCATTCTTACAGTGACCAAACCAACAAAGATCCTCAATATAATCTCAGATTGAATATTACTATATACGGAACGTACATTACTATACAGTACTATTATGCTGTATATGCGTATCATATTCATGAAAATTATTAAATATAGATGTATTGTGAGGTGCATTCTATATTTTATCTACGGCAATTCGGGTAATACTCTTCACTGAACGTACATTACTATACACCGCCATTGTTCTATATATGCATATAATTTTTTATGATTTTTATAAATATTACTGAATACAGATCGTATTGTAAATTACATACTATATTTTATCTACGGCAATTCGGGTAATATTCTCTACTGAACGTGCATTACTATACATCACTATTATTCTGTATATGCGTATCATATTCATGAAAATTATTAAATACAGATGTATTGTGAGTTGCATAATATATATATATATATATAATATATATATATATATATATATATATATATATATATATATATATATATATATATATATATATATATATATATATATATATTATATACTTATTTTATCTAGTATAATAGTAAGTATAAGTATGTTAAGGTGTAAGTTAAACGTTAATAAAATAATGTTAGTATCGAACAGATGAAATGTGTGTAAAGCGATGTATAAAACATTATGTAAGCATGCAATGAATGAAAGGTAGTCAATTTGGTTCGAACATAAATTTGATGGACAAACAAAAATATGTTCTTAACAGCAGTCACCAAGTGAAGGTATGACTACATCGACCGCCATGTTAGTAAGGATGATGGTTAGTAGGAATGAATGATTTTACATTATATGATAATTTATTTATTAATAATATACTTGACTTACTAAGATTAGCTCATGATTTAAGTTGGTTTAGTAGACATCTTTTTATTGATCTGATGGACATCTTTTATTCTTAATAATGTTAAACCATCATTACTTTGGTGTTAATTAATTAGTTACTATGTTATATAGCATTAAAAATGAATTATTGGGGGTTGGTCAATAACTCTAGGTTATCTAATCTTAAAACTAGTGGATTTCTCCGACTCCTGTTTTGGGACAGGCTATCAAAGACTTAAAAACTAGGAAATTCTCTGACTCCTGTTTTGTGACAGGCTATCGAAGACTTAAAACTAAATCGAGGTAAAGGTGACCATTACCTCTTGCTAGAAGGCTGCACGAACACATAACTCTGGAGCTAACCAGAACAGTTCATTAATTCGCCAGTGGTCCATATCGAATATTTTTTAGTGGTCATAACTAAACATCTTTTTTTTATGTGATAATCTTAAGTATCTTAATTTAAAAATAATTAATTACTATTAAACTGGGAATAAGCCACAATTAAAGATAAAAATACGTTTATTGACGTTTCAATTTCCACTTCGGAAATCGTTCTCAAAATACAAACATTTTTTTTTTGTTTGTATTTTGAGAACGATTTCCGAAGTGGAAATTGAAACGTCAATAAACGTATTTTTATCTTTAATTGTGGCTTATTCCCAGTTTAATAGTAATTAATTTACAATGCCACAAGAAAATAGCTTCAGAACAATATTAAAAATAATATATACAAAACTAAGATCTATTAGAATTACCATATAATATAAAAACGATGAATGAGGGAAAGTTTGAGAAAAGGAATATAATAAAAGGGTCTGTTCCAGATATATGTAGCATTATGTTAGCTGTAATAAATAAAGTTTTAAAATGACTATATTCAAACAACTAAATATGCTAATCTTAATTATATAAAAATGATAAGTGATATTAAAGGTGTTAAGAAAAACATAATAAAAAATCTCTGATTCAGATGTATTTATCAATATTTGTAGTTGTAATAAATAAATTAAGTTTTAAAAATGACAATATACGCTTAGCATCCATCTTAAGGTTAACCAAATGTAGATAAAAGCATGATATAAGGAAACAAGGTATGCTCACTAGGTGGACTCGTTTTTGCACATTTCTGCGCCGACCAAAATCCACCATCTTTTCAATATGTCACATGCGTGTAGGGATGGCGCGCCCCGGACAGGTAAATCTGTCCGGTGCGAAGCACCGGACGCCGATGGAGGATGGAGTTGAATTTTCTGTCGGCGAACGATACATGGAGAGAAAATTTCTCGCCCACCCACTCTGCGCGCTTCAGGTTGAATTCTCGGACGTGCATCCTGTATCCTTCACTTGCTGGTTTTGTGTGTTTATTCAATGTTGCAAGAACGAACGAAAGTCGAATATATTTCAATTTGTCAGGCATACGGTGCGTTTTTTTTGGTGAGGGGATGTGCCATCACTGTACATAGATTAAGACAGGTAAGTACAAAGGGGAAATATTTGAAGCGTTTATTTGAAAAACAACATGTTATTGTCCAAGAATTAAAATTTTGGCAAATCAAGAAAAACTGCCCAGCTTCAATTTATTTCAAATCTTTCTTTTACTAAGATATTCACTGAAAGGAATGTGGATATCAAAATAATTGTACAAGTTGATTTCATATTTTTATTGATATATTAAACAAACATCGGTAGAAACTTAGCGAAATAATCTATATCATCTATAATATTCATAACATTAGAGGAGGTATTGTGTTGAATAGTTTCTGCCATGCTGAACTAGTTTTCTATTACAAAAGAAACAAACATCACCTGTTATTAACAAAAAACGCACACAACTTATTGAACTGATAAATTTATAGACAAAATCATTCACGCTTAGCGATAACCGTTGATTAAGATGGGACAAGTGTTGCTTTTACAACATACCGCTTGGATATCTGTTGTTTTTCTAAAACTATCCGAATATTCTATGTAGTTTACTCCACAACTGAATGTGCGAGATCGATAAAAACTACTATTTTATGCGAACAACATATAAAGTCAAATTTTCAAAAAATGAACATGCGTTGTTTTTCAAATAAACGCTTCAATTGTGTATTAAAATGCTTTTGTTTTGTGACAACACGAATGAAGTGTGAAATTTCCATTCTAGATTCCTGATCACTAGAAATGGATAAGTTCATAATACGTACTCCGATACAAACTCATCAGGCTACGAGGAATGAACAACCTGTTCCAGTTCCATCGACATCTGTTGAGAGTTACAATCGTAGTAAAACCATAACGTCTAGTGGAAAGAAGGGCAGACAGTTTCGTGACACGTGGAGTGTCACTTATCCATGGATAACATATGACAGTACACTCGATAAATTTTTTTGTACTATTTGCAAAACAGCAGCCGCATTGAATCTGCCAATAGCATCGACTGGAATAAATAGCATCGACAGAGAGTCTTATCAACTTACGTTACAGAAGGTTTCAACTCGTGGGGTAAAGCGTTAGAGAGATTCAAGGATCACGAAAAGTCAGAATTTCACAGACATTCGGCGCTATCATTGAGACAGAACGATCAAGGCGTAAACGTCGCAAATATGTTGTCAAAGTCTAAATTGAAAGACGTGACCGATGCAAGAAAATGTCTTCTCATAATATTTTCCACTATTAAATACTTGACTGTTCAGGGTATTGCTATCAGAGGACACTTCGATAGTACATCAAACTTTAATAATCTGCTTCATTTAAGAGCTAACGATATTCCAGAACTGCAGTCTTGGTTGGGCAGAACAGGATATAAATGGTTATCTCATAATATTTCGAATGAAGTAATGTCCATTTTATCGAATGCTGTTCAGAGAATTATTCATGACCGTGTCCGTTCGCAAGAATTTTTTTCAATAATTGCTGACGAAACATCAGACATTTCAGTGAGCGAACAAATGTCTTTCTGCTTGAGAAGCGTGAATGCTTCCTTGGAAGTTAAAGAATATTTCATCGGTGTGCACGAGACTGAATCCACAACTGCAGATGTTCTCTATAACATGATTAGAGATGTTTTATTACGTTGTCGATTGGAGATTGGCAATTGTCGCGGACAGTGCTACGACGGCGCAGCGAATATGAGTGGATGTGTCAATGGTGTTCAAAAAAAAATTCTTCTCGATGAGCCACGTGCTATATATGTGCACTGTCACGCTCATA